CTTTATACAAGTAGTAATGATGTTAGTAAGTACTATCACTGTTCCAGGCACTGAGCTAGCTTTTTTCCACTTTCTGTTGAAGTATAATATACAGACAGGAAGCTGTGATACCCTAAGTGTAGAGCTCGATGAATTTTTCAGAAATGGAACACACCTGCATAACCATCACACAGATCAAACAGGAGGATGTTACCAAGACCCTCGAAGCCCTCCTCAGGCTCCCTTTTAGGAGCTAACACCCTCAGAGGTGAACTTCTAACAGACTACTTTGCTTTAGCCTGTTTTTGCACAAGTGGAATCCTGCAGCATGTACTATTTTGTGTCTGGCTTCTTTGATTCAACATAGCATTGTTGCATGTGGCTCTAGGTCATTCATTCTCATCGCTGAATATATTCCATGTGTGAATGTACCACAATTTACTTATCCATTCTACTTTTGATAGGCATTTGGGTAGCTTCCAGTTTGCAAGTATTACAAATAGTGCTGCTATGAGCAGTCTACAATGTGTCTTTTGGTGAACACAGGGAAGCACTTGCACTGGCTGTAGCTGAGAATGGAGATGCTGGGTCCTACAGTGTACATATTTGGGTGAGCTTTGTTTCTATATGTGTAATTCTCACAGCCCCTCTGTAAGGAAGACACAGTCAACCCTTTTACATACAACAGCATTTTGAGCCAGACCTACACTTTCTCTGCAGGTCCTGGAGTCCCAGACAGAAAGATCAACTGGTACAGTGGAGGAAGTGTAGGTCTGGCTCAAAAGCCTTTTCACTACTGATGACCTTCTTTATTATTTTATTACTTTTTCTTAAGAGATACATTGTTTTGGAAGATTTCTACATACCAAGCTAATGTCCTTTGCTCAGTATCATTTAATTCATCTTCCAGTTCTCTTATTAGTCAAAAGCACACGTATCTAATCAGCTGCGGAGCTGCTGGTCTGACAACCTGCATTACAGAGCTGACATAACATCAGATAAAACCAGCGGAAGTCCATGTTCGGGTTCACCTCTGCAGTCTCCGTACAAGGATGCTGGGTTTCTGTTGAGCTGCTGAAACACTGAAAATCTGCATATTTCCTTTCCAGTCTGTGTTGTTATGGGAACTTGAGATGACTGAGGACCCCGTGCCTCCACGAAGGACCTCTGAGGCCTGCACCATGTCAGAAATCCTCTGATTTATCAACAATAAATGTATAGCAATGCGCAAGCAACTCACAAGCCGTTTGGCCCAGGCTCAGACTATCATTTTAAACAAAGTCTCAAAGCCCTGTCCCTTTACGTCCCTTTACAGGGCTCATTCTTAAGCTAAGATAGGTTATATGCAGGAGTGTTAGGACCATTTTCCAAACTGCCACCAAGCGGCCAGAAGGAGTTCAGGCTACGTGACCTTGCGGGCGCTTCGTTCTTTCCCATTTGTTTCTCTGTTACTGTTCTTCTCAGTCTCTGTCCCTCTCTCTCTGTCTCTGTCTCTGTGTATACACGTATGTTTTATATATGTATAAATTACATGTATGAGACAGATCTAGCCATCCATCAACAAAATTGAGATCCTATTGTATCTTACTTTCTATTACCATTTTTCCATGTGATTAAAAAAGTACTTTCAAAAATTTAATTTTTAAGTTGCTGTTTGATATTCCATCACGTGCAGTTCGCATGATTAGTTAAACTAATTCTCTTTGGGGACATTTAGGTTGTTTCCAGTATTATTTCATTGCAAATAACATTGCCTGACTATTCATGTACTGAAGTCCTTGGGGAACTTCTGATATTTTCCTACAGATAAGTGGCAAGATGTGGAATAACCACCAAAGCACATGCAGGAGGGATTTTGAGTCCCATTATCAAATGCAAACGTCTGCTGCTGCCAACAACATGTGAGAGTGTCTTTTTGGCCCACGCTGGTAATTTTCTTTCACGAATATTTTTTCTCAGTTTTTTAGGTAAAACGTGATTGTCTGGTTTTAATTGCATGTAACCGATTCCTGGTAAGGTTAAATATTTTTTCAGGTTTGATGTCCACTTGTGTTTCTCCTTACTTTGTATTTTGTGTTCCTTCTTTTAACTTCACGTGTGTCCCCACTCCCCCACGAATGCCCTCCTGTGCTTGGCAGGTCTCTTTCCCCCGCCCTTACCACAGGGGTGGTATCAGTGTCCCACAGAAGAACTCGGTGGTCGTCAACTGCTCTGCCAGCCAGACACGTGTCAGGAGGACGCACACTCATGAGGCCCGCAGTGCACTCCTCCGTCCAGGCCAGTGGCTTCCTCCCAGAGCTGCAAACCTCACACCTCACTGAGACTCTGGACGCCACCGCCCGGGGTCCAGTAGAGCAGAGGCTCTTCTTCGTGGCATAATGACTTAACCAGGTGAGGTTTCCATGGAACTTCAGGTTTTTATAGGACTGTGTCTCAGAGGAAGTGGTCTGTACTGCTTTGGGGAAATGGGCAGCTGTAAATCAGGTAACAATATGCCTTGACATTTATCTTTATAAGAGTTTTATGCACTGGAGTTAGCAAGGGACCCATTTACCCAATTCATGGCCAATTTGCAGAGTCATCACTTTGGGTAAGAGTAACCCACCCTGCTCAGTGGTTGGCATGTGCTCGGGGCTCCTACAAACCAGTGCACCCCACAGTGTCGAGGCCTATCTTGTCTTCGGTGTGGACCAAATGTTATCTTTCAGACACATGAGACATAGAAAGGGAGGTCACCAAACAGTGGGAAATTCCTCCTCCTGCTGCTAAAACCGCTCTTCCCCCTCCCTGGAATGTTTGCCCGGACAGCAGCTGTCCTCTGTGATGCCAGACATGATAAGGAGACATTAAACTTGGAACAGAGATGATGAAAGAGTAGCTGTCAGGCCTTTGGCTGGTGCTAATTAGCACTCAAGGCCAAGGCTGAACTGGAAGTCCCATGATAAATTATGGGACATTCTTACAAGAGAATATTAGGCAGCTATTAAAGATAATGTTTTCAAAGAATTTTTATGACACTGAAAAATGCTTATGACATGAAGTCAAATGAAAGAAAGATGTAAAGCCCATACGTACAATATAGAATATGATCCCAATTATGTGAAAGACTTGCTGGGAATATCGGAAAATGGCAACTGTGATCACCTCTGTAGTAAGATTATGTATGAGTTTTATGTTTCTTTCTTATCATATTTAAAAAATTTCCTACATGAAGCATTTGTGACTTTTGTTTACCAAGAAAAAGCAATGAAAATTTTTAAAGACCAAGTCAGATGTGACCTGCTCCAGGCCTTTGGGCATTTCCCAAGTTCCTATGTGTTGTTCACCTGTGCTCGCTCCTGTGTTAGGGAGCATCAGGGACAGGTGTGCTGTCGAGGCCAGGTGGGATATGAAAGAGACAAATGCCCTCACAGAATATGAAGACACAGCTTACTAAAGCTATTAGTCAGCCCCGGACCGCGGCCCCGTGTCCTCCCTCCTTCCTGCTTTCCTCTCTTTCTTTTCTCCCCTTTCTCTCTTTTGTCTTTCTCCCTCATTCCCTCCTCCTTTCTTTCTTTCCAAGCATTTATTCCCTTGGGCCCTGGGAATTCTTCTGAGAAAAGTAAATCTCAGAAAACCAGCAATCCTGACTGAAACCAAATTTCCAACAGGCTCAAGAAGTGGGTTGCAGCAATGCTGAATTGGGGTGGGGGGTTAGTTTGGAAAAAGCTTGGTGGACCCCGAGATTGCTCACCCTGTCCTAGATTGCTCACCCTGTCCTAGTCACAGAGCTTCTAGTGGAATAGTTTCAATTCTGGGTGCCAGGCTAAAAAAGAAAAAAAGAATATTAAAAAGACTGCCTTCTGCAGAATATGAAAATGACAGTAACATCTTCAGCAATGACATTAGAGGCAAAACTTCCATGTATTGAATGCTTATTATGTGCCAGATATACTTGACTAAGACATGACTTATAGTGTTATTTGATCTTTAAAACAGCTCGTACAAATGAGGAATCTGAGTTTATCAACATTAAGTAATAAGTGGGTGCATCTTTTTTATTTTTACTTTAAAACAGCTCGTACAAATGAGGAATCTGAGTTTATCAACATTAAGTAATAAGTGGGTGTATCTTTTTTATTTTTATTTTTTCCTTTTTGTCTTTTTTCGTGTCCGGCAACGGATCGCAACCCTCAGTGTCGCGCCCGTACCGGACCGGGACCGGCAACGGGATCGCAACC